CACTTCTTCCATACTCCTCCTCTCCATTTTGATATCCAATTTTTCCTTATCTAAATCATTTGATACCCTCATCACCTTACTCTCTTCTATGTTCACTTTCAACTTTCTACCTTTTCTCACACTCCCAAACTCATCCACTAACCTTTGCAATTTTTCTTTAGAATCTCCCATAAGTACAGTTTTTTTTTTTTTTTTCAACAAGTCGGCCATCTCCCACCGAGGCAGGGTGACCCATAAAAGAAAGAAAATCCCCAAAAAGAAAATACTTTCATCATTCAATACTTTCACCACACTCACACATTATCACTGTTTTTGCAGAGGTGCTCAGAATACAACAGTTTAGAAGCATATTCGTATAAAGATACACAACATATCCCTCCAAACTGCCAATATCCCAAACCCCTCCTTTAAAGTGCAGGCATTGTACTTCGCATTTCCAAGACTCAAGTCCGACTATATGAAAATAACCAGTTTCCCTGAATCCCTTCACTAAATATTACCCTGCTCACACTCCAACAGATCGTCAGGTCCCAAGTATCATTCGTCTCCATTCACTTCTATCTAACACGCTCACGCACGCTTGCTGGAAGTCCAAGCCCCTCGCCCACAAAACCTCCTTTACCCCCTCTCTCCAACCCTTTCGAGGACGACCCCTACCCCTCCTTCCTTCCCCTATAGATTTATATGCTTTCCATGTCATTCTACTTTGATCCATTCTCTCTAAATGACCAAACCACCTCGACAACCCCTCTTCTGCCCTCTGACTAATGCTTTTATTAACTTCACACCTTCTCCTAATTTCCACACTCCGAATTTTCTGCATAATATTTACACCACACATTGCCCTTAGACAGGACATCTCCACTGCCTCCAACCGTCTCCTCGCTGCTGCATTTACCACCCAAGATTCACATCCATATAAGAGTGTTGGTACCACTATACTTTCACATTCCCTTCTTTGCCTCCATAGATAGCGTTTTTTAACTCCACATATACCTCAACGCACCACTCACCTTTTTCCCCTCATCAATTCTATGATTAACTTCATCCTTCATAAATCCATCCGCCGACACGTCAACTCCCAAGTACAGTGGACCCCTGCATAACGATCACCTCCGAATGCGACCAATTAGGTAAGTGTATTTATGTAAGTGCGTTTGTACGTGTATGTTTGGGGGTCTGAAATGGACTAATCTACTTCAAAATATTCCTTATGGGAACAAATTCGGTCAGTACATACTTCTGGGTTGAAAAAATATCATTAACCGGGGGTCCACTGTATCTGAAAACATTCACTTCTTCCATACTGCTCCTCCCCAATTTGATATCGAATTTTTCTTTATCTAAATCATTTGATACCCTCATCACCTTACTCTTTTCTATGTTCACTTTCAACTTTCTACCTTTAAACACATTCCCAAACTCATCCACTAACCTTTGCAATTTTTCTTTAGAATCTCCCATAAGCACAGTATCATCAGCAAAAAGTAACTGTGTCAATTCCCATTTTGAATTTGATTCCCCATAATTTAATCCCACCCCTCTCCCGAACACCCTAGCATTTACTTCTTTTACAACCCCATCTATAAATATATTAAACAACCATGGTGACATTACACATCCCTGTCTAAGACCTACTTTTACCGGGAAGTAGTCTCCCTCTCTTATACACACCCTAACCTGAGCCTCACTATCCTCATAAAAACTCTTAACAGCATTTATTTAGTTATTCGCTATAAAATGTATTTTTTGTTAATATTTTTGGGTGTCTGCAACGGATTAATTGAATTTACTTTATTTCTCATGGGAAATATTGCTTTGGTTTTCAGCTGTTTCGGATTTTGGCCAACCTTCTGCAATGGATTAAATACGAAAACTGAAGGTCTTCTTATTTATGTTACTAATCATAAGTAGCAACTCAGAAAATTATTAATTGGCAACTTTATATACTTGTGTGTACTATTCTTATCATTTTCTCATCGTATTTCACAGAGGAGAGTATCAGTGATCACTGCTTGTCTGACAATATATTTACAGGTATAGCCTAACAGTGTGGGTTTTATTGTCAATATTTGACATTCATGTCACTGTAAACTTTTCCAGTTTCTAGAACTGTTAAAAAATTTCTGAAACGATATGGAAGTTTTTAGAACAATCCAATTCCTGGTATGTATGAAAAGCTTTATGAGCAAACAAATCAACTTATTGCCATTATATATTTTTCAAAAATTCAGAATTAATTATAATGTCACACAAGAAAAGTGATACTACCATAAAGAAGAACAAAGGTATCTGGACCAATAACTTGGTGGGATTCCAAAAGTCACACAGAAGAAGAGGAATTGTGCCTTTAGAAGAATTTTCACTAAAAGAAAAATGGAGAATACCTCTCCAAACCCAAATCATTGCATGGTACCAGTTTTTTGGAGTAGAAATCAAAGGAAGAAAGGAGCGAATAGCAAAAATTTCCAAACAAATTACAAAATTATGGAGGAATAAATTGAATTTTCCTCATGTGTCAGTTCAAGTAATACGAGCAAAGCTTGACAAGGTGATGAAGACTTAAGATGAATGTGTCAGGAGAGGAAAATTATGATGCCCTGAATGAACTTTTTGATATCTCAAAAGTAAATGGCCATTGGTTATCCTATGAAGACAAACAGCTGTACCAGCTTCAAGTGGAAAGCAAAGGAGAAGTGGGGTACTCTACAAGTCAAGAAGATGGAAACTGCCTGCTGAATCAGCTTCAGTGTCAGCATCTTACGATCATGCATCAAGTGACAGTGGTACTGAATCTGAAGGGAGCGAGAATGAAGATGAAAGTACTACTCCACCAACCAGAAAAAAAACCACAAAAGTAAAGTTGCAACCAATTTGGTGACATTCACAGAAGTATCAACAAGTAAAGCCGCCAAGGTATGCAAACAGTTATCATTTGATGGCATTAACATTCCTACACCAAGTCAAGCAGCAATATACAAGTCAACATACAAAGAGGCTGCTAAATTGAAGGAGGAAATGATTGAAAAGTTTCAAATGGAAGAATGTTCTTTATATTTCGATGGAAAGCGCTTTGAGGAAAATGAGTGTCAGGTATTATTACTAAAAATGAAAGAACTGAAGTAAAACTGAATGCACTGCATTTGAAAGATGGCAAGGCTGAAACTATTGGAGAAAGAATGGCAAAAGTTATTGGTGAATAAAACTTATGGAATGCAGTGAAGATGATCATTGCTGATAAAACAAACGTTAACACGGAAAAAGAGTTGAGCTGTTGTCAAACTGCAATGAATGTTCTCAGAGAGGGGGATTAGTAAACCACAGCTTATCAATTGTCAGCATCATGTTCTGGACAGGATTCTCTGTTTGGTAATGGATGAAAATCTTGGCGCTGAAACCAGTTCTCCAATCATCAAATATCCATTTGTATCCCAACTAGTGAAGAATTATGAGGCACTAAAGGCACAGTTTGTCAATGGAACGGAAGAGAGCCTCCATAAATCAGGATGGAGAGATGATATGAAGTTTTTGTACCATCTAACATGAGTGTTTAGATTCTTTGAAGAAGAAGGGCACTTTCCTTTGATTAACTTTCAGAAAATTCCAAACATCAGCAATGCAAGGTTGAATTCAAGAGCCATTCTAGCTATTCTTGCATTCATTCTTATACCTACAAGATGGAAGACTTTGGAGAAGATTTGCAGATTCATTTAATACACCTGGGCAGATTATTGGTTTACTGATCAGATGTACGATGAAAATAACTTCAAGAATTTGTCAGGAATACAGTGGACCCCTGCTTAACGATCACCTCCAAATGCGACCAATTATGTAAGTGTATTTATGTAAGTGTGTTTGTACGTGTATGTTTGGGGGTCTGAAATGGACTAATCTACTTCACAATATTCCTTATGGGAAAAAATTCGGTCAGTACTGGCACCTGAACATACTACTGGAATGAAAAAAGTTCGTTAACCGGGGGTCCACTGTATTGAAACCATACAAACAAGCACTGAACACATTGAAAAATCACTGGAAGCAGGAGCCATATGCACTGAACATACCAAAAAGTAATCATTGTGCTGAATGTGCAATCAAAGTTATGCAGGAACTGTATACTGCCTGCAGAAACAAACGGCAACTTTGGTTTATTCTAAGCTATAAGTAGTAATACATGTTTATGTACAAACATGATAACAATGATGCTGTAAGCTGTTTTATTTGTTATTAACCCTTAAACTGTCCAAATGTAGATCTACGTTCACGTGTGTAATGCTCCGACCTTTATTTTCCCCATTTGAAAGCTTGTAAAAAAAAACGTAGATCTACGTTTGGAGCCCCCTGCACGTGAACGTAGATCTACGTTTGGACAGTTTAAGGGTTAATATTACATGCAGTGTACATTTAAGTTTTCATTATTCGTTTTTTTCATTTAGGGGTGACATTTTCTGAAAAGATATTGAAATGAAAGTTTATTTCCTTGCTCTTTGGCAAAAGTTCATTTAAGTACAGGAATATTGCATTGTAAAAAAGTCAGAACCCTATTGGACATCCAACAGGCATGTGTGCAAGCATGTTAGGAGTTTAGGCAAATGGTTTTTGAGATTTGATGAGCTGTTGGAGTGTGAGCAGGGTAATATTTTGTGGAGGGATTTAGGGAAACAGTTTGCCAGACTTGAGTTGTGGAGGTGGGACATACAGAGCCTGCACTCTGAAAGAGGGGGTGGGAATATATACAGTTTGGAGGGGCATCTGAACAGTATTACTGGCATATTTCTGGCAAGACAGTCGTAAGAGTGAATGATGGTGAAAGTGTTTTTTTTTCGCCCAGTGTGTTAAGAAGGAAACCTCTTCATATAAGCCAGAAAAATTAGCTATTTGTTTAAAAATTATGAATGAGGAAATAGTGATCTCAGGAATTAAAGCAGCCAAATGCGATCTAATTCATATATTGCTTCATATGATGACTTCTAACTTTATTTTAATTTCTCTTACACTAGCAACATGGAAGCCGTTTACATCAGTGGAAGCTGCCATCTCTGGAAAATGATGACAATGATTTCATTCGTGCCCCTGGTGCCCCAGGGAAACCCGCCATGCCACAGTCTCATTCATCTCCAAATTTAACACCTTTGCTTGGACCATCAAATAGGTAATAGTCTTTATCGAGTTTCATGTGTTTATACTTATTACTAGTTTCCAGGTGCAGTTTTTAAAGCTAGTCATTACAAAAAAAAATACCATATACATTTTACAGAAATTTCTTTTGAGCACAGTGTATGTAGTTGATGTATTTAACTATTTAATCTACCACTTAAGTTTTGGTGTTACTTAGGAATCTCCTCTGAATTGAATGGAATTTTAAGAAATTTGATATAGGTGAATTGTATTAGACAAAAATAGTGAGTGTGAAACGAAAGCCTGTAATTGTTCATGATGGTAGGATTGCTGGTGTCTTTTGTCTGTCACATAAATATGCAAGATTACAGGTACGTCTTGCTATTTCTACTTACACTTAGGTCACAGAACACATACATGTACATGTTTATTTATACACACTCATCTGAGTTTTCTTTGATTTTATCTTAATAGTTCTTGGTCTTATTACTTTCCTTTTATATCCATGGGGAAGTGGAATAAGAATCTTTCCTCTGTAAGACATGCGTGTTGTAAAAGTCAACTAAAATGCCGGGAACAGTGGGCTAGTAACCCATTTTCCTGTAATAATTACTAAAAAGAATAAGAAGAAAATTGCCAAAGTGGGAAGTCTGAATGTGTGTGGATGTTGTGCAAATGATAAGAAAGAGATGATTGTGGATGTTATGAATGAGAAGAAGCTGGATGTCCTGGCTTTAACCCCATGACTGTCGCAACCCCCAATCCTGAGGTGTCTCCTGGTGTTGCAAAATTTCAAAAAAAAAAAAAAAAATTCTTATGAAATGATAGAGAATCTTTTCTCGATTGTAATGAGACAAAAAAAATGAAATTTAATGGAAAACTGACAGAATTACGCTCTAGCGAAGTTAGCGACCTTGGCGATATTTACAAATTGGCGATTTCGCCCACTTTGAGCCCTATTTTCGGCTAATTCCATTGTTCCAGTCGACCAAACTCATAGCTGCTTCTTTAGAACTCCGTTTTTTCTTTCGATTGAGTACAAGAAACTGCCCATTTACCGATTTCAACTACCCAATAACATGGTCAGAAATTTGTAATTTGGCCAATTTCACAAAAATTAAAATATATGACAATTTCAAAATAAGGTCCAGAATGAACAATGCAGACATTCCTGGCTCTAAAATAATATTTTCTTTATTCATCAGTCATGTCTCCAGGCCCCTCTGATATTACTCTTGCTTTCTATTTTGAATTTTTATTCAAACAAAAAATAGAGGATTTACTGTTATGCAGACTACTGCAATTTTGTAATAATTATATAAATAATGTCAACCCATTCATGACTGCATATTAGAATGGCTAGTTGGACATTTATTGGACAGTGACATCATTTGTTTACTTTTGAACATTGGCAAAAATCAAACATTTCCCCTACTTTGAGCTCCATTTCCAGGCACTTTTTATAGTAAAACCAGTCAAAATCACCTCTATTTTTATAATATGTTTTCCATTCTATCAAATGAGACCAAGAAAACGAGAATACAACCATAAATACTATACGAAAATAGAGCACAAAATCAGCATTTTAATTAAAAAAAAATGGCCCGAGTTTTTTTTTCTCATTATGCACTGCGTGCTGCAGGATTTTTTATATGGTGCACACTGACCCATTCTCTCACATGTGGACTTACCAGCTTTCTCCCGTTTGATTTGAAGCCGCTAGAATTTGAGTATATATACGTCAAACACGGTACCTCCTAAGACGTATATATACAACCAAAACAGTCAAAGGGTTAAGTGAAACAAAGATGAAGGGGCTGGGAGAGTTTCAGTGGAGAGGAATAAATGGGATTAGGTCAGGGGTTTCAAATAGAGTTAGAGCTAAAGAAGGAGTAGCAGTAATGTTGAAGGATAAGTTATGGCAGGAAAAGAGGGACTATAAATGTATTAATTCAAGGATTATGTGGAGTAAAATAAAGGTTGGATATGAAAAATGGGTTATAGTAAGCATATATGCACCTGAGGAAGAGAGAAGTGTAGAGGAGGGAGAGAGATTTTGGGAAATATTGAGTGAATGCGTGGGGAGTTTTGAACCAAGTGTGAGAGTAATGGTGGTTGGGGATTTCAATGCTAAAGTGGGCAAAAATGTTGTGGAGGGAGTAGTAGGTAAATTTGGGGTGCCAGGGGTAAATGAAAATGGGGAGCCTTTAATTTAGCTATGTGTAGAAAGAGGTTTGGTAATAAGTAATACATATTTTATGAAAAAGAGGATAAATAAATATACAAGGTATGATATAGCACGTAATGAAAGTAGTTTGTTAGATGTATTGGTGGATAAAAGGTTGATGTGTAGGCTCCAGGATGTACACGTTTATAGAGGGGCAACTGATATATTGGATCATTATTTAGTTGTAGCTACAATTAGAGTAAGAGGTAGATGGGAAAAGAGGAAAATGGCAACAACAAGCAAGAGGGAGGTGAAACTGTGTAAACTAAGGGGGAGGAAGTTCAGGTGAGATATAAGCAACTATTGGCAGATAGGTGGGCTGGTGCAAGTATGAGTAGTGGGGGGTTGAAGAGGGTTGGAATAGTTTTAAAAATGCAGTATTAGAATGTGGGGCAGAAGTTTGTGGTTATAGGAGGGTGGGTGCAGGAGGAAAGAGGAGTGATTGGTGGAATGATGAAGTAAAGGGTGTGATAAAAGAGAAAAAGGTAGCTTATGAGAGGTTTTTACAAAGCAGAAGTGTTATAAGAAGAGCAGAGTATATGGAGAGTAAAAGAAAGGTGAAGAGAGTGGTGAGAGAGAGTGCAAAAGGAGAGCAGATGATAGTGAGAGAGGCACTGTCAAGAAATTTTAATGAAAATAAGGAAAAATTTTGGAGTGAGTTAAACAAGTTAATAAAGACTAGAGAACGAATGAATTTGTCAGTTAAAAACAGAGTAGGGGAGTTAGTTAGATCGGGAGATGGAGGTTTTGGGTAGATGGCGAGAATATTTTGAAGAACTTATAAATGTCGACGAAGAAAGGGAAGCGGTAATTTCATACACTGGCCAGGGAGGTATACCATCTTTTAGAAGTGAAGTAGAACAGGATGTGAGTGTGGGGGAGGTGCATTAGGCATTACGTAGAATGAAAGGGGGTAAAGCAGCTGGAGCTGATGGGATCATTACAGAAATGTTTAAAGGAGGGGGGCATATAGTGTTGGAGTGGTTGGTATTTTTGTTTAATAAATGTATGAAAGAGGGGAAGGTACCTAGGGATTGGCAGAGAGCATGTATAATTCCTTTATATAAAGGGAAGGGGACAAAAGAGATTGTAAAAATTATAAAGGAATAAGTTTACGGAGTATACCAGGAAAAGTGTACGGTAGGGTTATAATTGGAAGAATTAGAGGTAAGACAGAATGTAGGATTGTGGTTGAGCAAGGAGGTTTCAGAGTGGGTAGGGGATGTGTAGATCAAGTGTTTACTTTGAAGCATATATGTGAACAGTATTTAGATGAAGGTAGGGAAGTTTTTATTGCATTTATGGATTTAGAAAAGGCATATGATAGTGGATAGGGGAGCAATGTGGCAGATGTTGCAAGTATATGGAATAGGTGGTAAGTTACTAAATGCTGTAAAGAGTTTTTATGAGGATAGTGAGGCTCAAGTTAGGGTGTGTAGAAGAGAGGGAGACTACTTCCCAGTAAACATGCCCATGCACTCAGTCCCAGGCCCAGATTCGTGGAACTCTGTGTTCATTAAGAACTACAAGAAACCCCTTTCATGTGCCCTAAGTATACTATGGAAAAGGAACTTAGACATGGGTGAAATTCCACAGTCACTTAAAACAACAGATATAGCCCCACTCCATAAAGGTGGCAGCAAAGCATTAGCTAAGAACTATAGACCAATAGCTCTGATGTCCCACATCATAAAAGTCTTTGAAAGAGTGCTATGAAGCAGGGTTGCAAACCACCTGGATTCCCAAAAACTGCACAATCCAGGGCAACATGGGTTCTGGGGAGGTCGCTCCTGCCTCTCGCAACTACTGGATCACTATGATATGATCTTGGATGCACTGGAAGAAAAACAGAATGCAGATGTAATATACACAGACTTTGCAAAAGCGTTTGACAAGTGCGATCATGGCGTAATAGCACACAAAATACGTGCTAAAGGAATAACTGGCAAAGTGGGGAGATGGGTCTTCAACTTCCTAACCAATTGAACACAAAGAGTAGTGGTCAACAGAGTTAAATCAGAAGCTGCCATAGTGAAAAGCTCTGTTCCACAAGGCACAGTACTCGCCTCCATCCTGTTCCTCATCCTCATATCAGACTTAGACATAGATATAATCCACAGCACTGTATCATCCTTTGCAGACGATACTAGGATCTGCATGAGACTGTCATCTATTGAGAACACGATTAACCTCCAAGAAGATATAAACCAAGTTTTCCAGTGGGCAATGGAAAACAATATGATCAATGAGGACGAATTCCAACTACTCCATTATGGAAAACTGGAGGAGATAATAACTATAACAGAGTATACTACAAACTCTGGCCATACAATAGAGCGAAAAAATAATGTAAGGGACCTGGGAGTGGTTATGTCTGAGGATCTCACTTTCAAGGATCACAAGTGCAAAGAAAATGATAGAATGGATAATGAGAACATTCAAAATGAGATGCCAAGCCAGTGTTGATCCTTTTCAAATCACTTGTTCTCTCTAGGCTGGAATACTGCTGTACATTAACATCTCCGTTCAAAGCAGGTGAAATTGCAGATCTAGAGAGTGTACAGAGACCTTTACTGCACATATAAGTTCTATCAAGCACCTCAACTACTGGGAATGCTTGGAAGCTCTTGACTTGTACTCACTGGAATGCAGGAGAGAGAGATATATCATAATCTACACTTGGAAAATCCTAGAAGGAATGATCCCGAATCTGCACACAGAAATCACTCCCTACGAAAGTAAAAGACTGGGCAGGTGATGCAAAATACCCCCCAATGAAAAGTAGAGGCACCATTGGTGCACTAAGA